ATATAGCACCTGACTAGGCTGCAATAGCAGCAGGGAACATTGTCCAAGGCTTTGGGGGTTTCAGATCTCCATAGTGAGGTTTCAGAAAAATAAGCTATTTCTATTAGAGAAAGAGATGTTACTGCAGACTCAGACCAGCCAGAGGTGACATTGCCTGCAAGCTGACTCCCTGGGGACAGAAGGGCTATGAGCTCTCCTCCACAAACCAGCTGAGCAGAGGGTGTTCAGACCCCAGCACACAGACTCTGTTTGAGCTGGATAGTAAATCCTGGCCCTCTGTGCCCCTTCTGCCACCTGGAGAGCCTATTCAAGCCCAGCCCTGCCCCCCTGACAGCTCCACCTTTCAGTTTTTCAGGGGTTGCAGTTACTGTCTGTGAAGGCTTCTTCTTTATCAGTTTGTTCCTGGAGGTGTGTTTCACGTGAGTAGACCCTGTCCACTCTTCTCCAGCCTTAATGTGACCTCCCTAATGCAACTTGCCCCTTACAGGCAACACCAGACCTGGGGGAGCTGCAAGTGCCAGACCAAAGGTCCTGCCCCTAATGGCATGGCAAGTGAACTCAGGCAGGGGGGAGGTAAGTGGGGCCATATCCACCACCATTCAAACCTGGTTTTTAACCCAGGCTTATACCTTAATTTTCTGAGCGTCAGCCAAACAAACCCTGTTCTCCATCATCTGCCTAGCACAGCATGGAGGGACAAGGTACTGGGGTTGAGGGAAGAGTCATATCCCCAGGGTGAACTTCAGCTTCCTCCCAGAGACAGCGCAGAAGTTAAAGTTAAAATGTAGCAAATCCTTATGCACTTTCAGAAGCTGAACACTACAGCTGCTGTCTTCTAGCATAAACACAAAAATCCTCGTAGCTTAAAGGCAACACCCTACTCCAGCCAATAGGCACTTGATTAGTGGCCAAGTGGTCAAACACACCAAGGACAGATGGCCTGAGATGCTAGCCTCTGGCAGATGCAGCACCGGCATCTTCTTCCAGAGGGAGAGGCTCATGCTTTGCTTACCTTTCCTGACCAACACACCAGTCTCCTGGAAAACTGGAGTGAGGATTTGCACATCTAGATGGACGACAGGTCCAAATCTCCTTACCATATGCTTGATGCTTCATCCCAAAAGGACCTCTGTTTCTCTCCCCAGGCACAAGCCTGATTCCCTGGCACAGGCCTTCTGGAAGCGAGCTAGATGCCCAGGGAGCTTCCAGAAATTCCTGGGGTACACGCTGCTCTCAGTGGCTTGCTTCCTGCATCCCGTCCTTGTCTGGCACGTCACCATCCCTGGTGAGAATCTTGGGTGGGGAGTAGTGCAGATGGAGAGGAGCATGGTCTGTCAGGGGCCAGTGGGGTGGGGATGTATGGAGTGCTGGACTGGTGGCAGATGGTGCTGAGATAGACCAAGCACTGCTTGGCAAGCTCTTCTCACTTGCCTCAGCCCTTAGCTAACATGGCCTTCTCCCTAGGGTCCATGCTGGTGCTCACTGCTCTGGCCTACTTTCTGCTGAGCAAGAGGAGGAAGAGCCCCGGGCACAAAGAGACGCATTCCCAGTCAGGCCAGTACGTGGACCCTTCAGCCACCATGGGAACCCCAACCATCGCTGGCGACACTGAGCAAACCTACACCTTCCATGGAGCCCAGGGAGAGCAGCACCGCTCACTTCTGGGCCACATGAAGAGCATCCTGAAGGGCAGCAAGGACAAGAGCTCAGCCCCAGTAACTCCTGCCCAACCAGCAGATGAGCCAGTCCCTCGCAAGCAAGTGCACTTTCAGGAGAAGGTGGTGCAGATCATCCCCTCTGTCAGTGAGAGCTTGGAGGACATGGAGAGTGAGGCTGAAGAGACCACATCAGACACAACACCCATCCTCACCCCACCTGATGCCCCCATCATCCTCACTCCACTCAGCTCCACGGGCCTCTTTTGAGACCTCAGCAGGGATGAGGACAGGACAGACCTGCTATCCCTGGCACTGGCACTGCTCCCTGACACTCTAGCAACCAAAGGGCCCCAAGGGGTGGCCCTTCTTGGCCTCTCTGCCTCCAGGGTGACAAATGTGCCACCCTGTCTTCAAGGGGCTACCCACACTACATAGTCCCACATGTTATGGCATGGCCAGGGGTCAGGCAGTGGTTCAGCCAGAGTAGTGCAAGGACAGTGAGGTTTTGCTCCCATGGCCTTACACATGGGTCACCCTGCTGTTAAAGCACTACATATCACTCTGGCTCCTCCTGCATAACATCACATCCATGGCATGTGCCTCCCATCTGGCAGCAAAAGGCAGGAGGAGGGGAGACTGCCATGCCCCAGAATGACCTCTGCTGGGGCAGTGGTCTCCCTGTGGTCCTCGCTGCATGTTGAAGAGCTGAGGGCTGGGAGTTCAGCACGGGACACTGCAGCCTGCAGGTTCCCTCACAGCACCTGCACTAGCTGCAGCAGACCAGAACATCCAAAACATCATTTCGGAGGTGGACTGAGAGCAAGCACACCCTGGGGCTAGCACCTGCTCAGTACCTCCTCAGACACATTCTGAGCCCAGCAGGGCTTGGGGACACCTACATTGGAGCAGGGAGGGCCCTGAGGCTTCCTGGTATCCCTTGCTTGGACAGCCCTCTTGAGTTAGAAAAGCTTTGGGATGATATGGCAGCTCAGGTCCTGAGATTTAGCACTGCACTGGCACAGCAGACCTTGTGTAACTCCCAGTGTGTGTAATTATGGCCCCCAGAGGGCAAAGGCAATAATAAAATTACAATCTTGTCCCATCAGTTCCCTCCATGCCAGCTGTTCCCTGAACCCTTCATCTCTGTCTTAATCCTAGCATAATTTCTGCCCTTTGAGGACTGTTCACCTATAATAAGGCATTTCCCTTCTGCTCAATTTAACCCCTTGGCTTTCTCCCACCTGACTATGCGTGGGAAAGAACTCAGGTGGCTGGGTTTCCTTGGACATGGGGCATGAAGCCACATTGTCACCACTGTTGGGATGAATTCTATGAGACTATGAAGAGCTGCAACTGCTCTGAGCCTAGACACACAGCACTGACGTGAGGTAATGGTAAGGAGGAAGGTCGCTGAGACCTGCTATGCTGTTTATAAGGTAGAAGCCAGTCGAGCTGGCTGTTTTACTTGAAAATACATTATTTCTTCTTATTAAAATCTCAGCTTTCAAAGTGGAGATCAGCATGTTCATTTAGGAAGGCAGTGTAGGTAAAAGTGCAATCAGAAGGCAATTGAGATAAGAAACTAGTGCTACTATTTAATAAACTCTTTTTAAGTGACTTCTAATTTGGGAGATGGATGAGCCAGAAGATGAAAGATACTGACTCACAATATGTGACTGCCTGTGTTTGATGAAACTTTGTCAACAAGAGCAGATTATGAAGGGTTGCACACACTTGTCATTCCTACAATCAGGCATAGACAAAAAGCTTTTCGTTGCATCACCAACATTTAAAATGATAGCTGGTAACAGTCTGCTCTAAACATGATACATGGATTAGAGACCAGCTGGTTTTGGCTGCAGAAATTAACCTTACACCCCTTAATTGTGTGCTGGGGAAAAGTCACGTACACATCTGCCCTTAGCGTGGATTTGCACCTGTTAAATTTCTTCAGTGAATGGCACCTGTTTACAGCCAAATGCTGCACAACTGATGACAGCAAGCCCAGGATCCAGCTACAGCTTCACCATCAACCTAGTGTATGAATGAATTAGGAAATAGAAATAAAGCTATTTTCCTCTAAAGTTGGTGACAAACAAGCATACCTGCACCAGCAAAGGTCCAAACCCAGTCATGATAACAGGCTACCCACCCTTGCCAAGTCTGCCCAAAAAAGGCTGTGTGTGCTTGGAGCCTCCCCAACTCAACCACACATCTGCTCTGCAGTTAGACCCACTCTGATTAGCAAAGTCAGCTGCATTGTTCAAGGCTCTTCTTTGAACACTGCATCATTAATTACACACAGAGAGATAAACTTTGTTGGAAAGGCACTGTTCCCAATATGTGAAGCAATCTGCTGATAAGAGAACACATGTCTACAGCCTCCCCTCTAACCCTCAGAAAAGCCCTAGAGCAGCCTGGGTGGGAACAGTTGCTCTGCAACAAATTTCATCTGCACCTGTGGGGCAGCAGAGCCAGCTGGGAAGGAGAGAAGCAATGTGATGAAAGCACCTGTGGCAGGCACCCTGAAGTGCGTAGGGACCAAATTTCATTGCTCTGTGAAATGCTTAAAATGAGTTTGCTGCAGAATTAGGTTTCAGGCTTTAGGCTCATCTTTTAAAAGTTTGTTAGATTTCCCTTCAGAAGGAAGACTGGTCAGAAGCTACAGGTGAAGTGTTTTTTCAGCCTTCATGGAGACACCATTGAACCTGGTTGCTTTTCTTGCCTGCTCTCTTGTGTTGGCCTGACTCTTCTCCAGCCCCACAGCTAGTTGGCTCAGGAGATAAAGCCTGGGGAAAAAAGGCTGCTTATCTTTTCTATGGTATTAAATTGCCTGTTCAGCTAAGGTCCATGGCTGACTCACCCTGGAGTCTGCCAAGAGCTTGCATCTCTGCTAGGGAAGTGGATGCTCCTTCAGAGGCAGACAAACTATAGCTCAAACAGCACCAGAGGGGTGCAATCCCAGTGCAGAGACTGAGCTGTTACTCAGGTTGCCCCTGCCAAGGAGTCCATTTGTACATCCCCCACTCTGCTCCTCACTACCCACCTCACCCCTGGTGCCATCTTCCAGCTCCATCAGTGTATGGACCTTGTTAGCCCAGAGGAAAAATAATTAGGAATAAGAAAGTGGGTGGCTATCTTCTTGGGTAATGAGCCAAATAAATTTAGGGAGGGCCAGCCACAAATGAAGGGGATGGGGGATAAAAGCTCCCCTTTCAGAGGCAGCAGGCAGTTAGAGGAGCTCAGCTACTTAAAGAAGCACAGCCGCAGGCTTTCTTTTAAATCCCAGTGCAGAGGAAATGTTCAGCCTCAGGGGGTGTCAGATGACTTCGCAGAGGCCTCAGAGATTATTCACTCAAGTGTGCACTTCTCTGTTGGCCCCTCTCCCTACATCTAGCTGTGAGGGTCATCCCAGGGGCTATTGAAAGCACCAAAGATGCTGTAAAGGGCTATGGGGGGTCTGTATGAGAAAAGCCCTCATATATGCAGAGTACTTGCAGCAAAAGAAAAAGAGGAAGAACTTGATGCTATTAACTGTGCAGTGTGGTAGTATCTGAATTTGAGCTGCCTGAACTGTAAATCCACACAGCACTACATGAACTCTGCTATATTATTTTTGTCTGCATTGCAAAAATTCATTACTCAGCTAGTCCATTGAGACTAATCCTCTGAGTTAGAGTGCATAAAGCTATAAACTCCCGTGGATTCACATTCTGAAAGGAAACAAGATGAATCATTCAAAAGAAATACATGTGTAAGGTGAAACTGTGTGAGGTAATCCTGGCAGAAATTGTTTCCTTCAAAATTGCATCAAAGATTTCCCTGCATGGGGAAATATTTGCCTGCTTTGCATGTACATGGGTAGTAGAAGCACTCTACAATGCTTCTTGACAGCCCTCATCACAACTTAGTGAACTGGTATGTTGCAAACAATTACCCCATTATAAGTATTATATAAAGGCAAAATCAGATTTTAGTGCAGGCTTCACTTAAAATTCCACTCTGCCTCCAGTGCTCACTAGTACAAGTAGTTGTTGCAGAGCCCTGAAGATAGGTACAGTACTTGCTCCACCACAGTGCTCCCACCTCACACCCAGTACTTAGATGATCACTTTCTGAACTCCCTATCTCCACATGGGGACTCTGCTCCCCAGGTTCTCTGAGCACTGTTCCATATTTGAAACATGGAAATGAATGTTTTACCCAAACAACAGCAGTGTTAGGAAAATAAGGAACATTTGGAGAGAAAAGTGTTCAGTTTCTGCAGTGTCAGTACTTGAAATCAGAAATGCCCTGTTTGTATCTGTGACTACAACACTCGGGTCAGCAAACACTGCTATTGGTATCAGTGGCATGGGTGGATCCTGGTTCAGTATTGAGTCATATCCACATGCAGGAGTGGACCTGTCTCCACTTGATTCCAAATTCTTCCTGTTCACACACCTGCAACTCTCAGCCCTTCACCTTCTCCTATCCTATTCAGGAGATTCTTCCATGTGCTGGGCCAGAAATTCAGGTTCTGTTTTGGCTAGCCTTGTGCATTTTGTGCCGTGCAGGAAGCTGCAGGAACCAGACAACAGACCTGCCTGGGATTGCTTGGGCCTGTCAGCTCCCTTATCTGCCTGGCATGATGCAGAACCAGGAATATGACTTCCAGCCACCATGTATCAGCAGGCATACCACTAGTGAAATGACTGCATAAGTAATATTCTAATGAATGATTAAGGTACCCTTTGGATTCTAATCCTAGGAAATTACTCATTCAGTGTATGACTTTATTGAATCATCTTTTGAGGTCCTAGACAAAACATCAGGAACCTGATTCTCCATCCTAGGTCTTTGGATCACAGGCTAAAGATATTATCCATATTTCAGGCAGAAAAAAAAAAAAAGAAAAGAAAGAAGTAAATGAAAAAAAAGGGAAGAGTGATGTTTACTGTCAGCTCCTCTTCATCCCATCTTGGATTTATAATCCTAGAATGATAAGGGGTTGAAATGAAACCTTAAGGATCATCTAGTCCCAACTGCCCCAGGCATGGGCAGGCACACCTCTCACCAGACCAGGTTGCTCAAGACTCCATCCAACCTGGCCTTGAACACTGACAGGGTTGGGGCATCCACAACCTCTCTGGGCAACCTGTTCCAGTGTCTCACCACACTCACAGGAAAAAGCTTTTTCCTAACATCTAACCTAAATTTCTCCTTTTTCAATTTGTATCCATTACTCCTTGTCCTATCACTGCAGTTCCTAACAAAGAGTCCCTCTC